ATGAAATCAAGGAATAATAAAAAAAAAGAAGAAGACATGAATAAAGGTAGAAAAGACGAAAAATGACAAAAAAAATAAAAAAATTACTTTATGAAAAATATGGGGGAGGGATACTATATGAAAAAAGGAGGAAAGAAGCAGGTACTAAAGAAGAAAGATGGGTACATATAAATGAAGAAATATAGGAAAGACGAAAGGAGAGAGAGAGAAAGAAAATGAATAAAATAAAGAAAAAAATACAAAAAAAAAAGAATAAGTTAGAGAAGAATAAGAAAAGGTGAAAAGAAAAGAAAGAAGAAATAAAGAAAGAAGAAATACAAACGAAAAAATTAAGAAAAAATTAAAAAACGAAAGAAAAGTAGGTAGAATGTAAATGAAGAATAAAGGGCGAAACGAAATTGAGAAAGAATAAAAAATATGAAAAAAAAAGAGGAGAAGAGATATACAAAAGATGGAAGAAATACGAAGGAATAATATACGAAAAAAGAAAGAAGGAAGCAGTGAAATATTAAGAAAGATTTTAAATAATGTAAATAAAAAGGGAAGAAATAAAGAAAAGCAAGAATTGAAAATAGGAAAGGAAATTACGAAGGGTTTTTCATTTGATTCATTGATTGATATCTGTTTTACATCATTTCAAAGGAAACGTTTTGTAGGGAGAAAGCGTGAGAAACAATAGTGGGAAATATTACAAAAGAAAGAAAGAAAGAAAGAAAGAAAGAAAGAAAGAAAGAAAGAAAGAAAGAAAGAAAGATAGAAGAATGAAAGTGCGAGGAATAATAAAAGCGAATAGCGTGAAATATTAAGAAAGAAAGAAAGAAAGAAAGAAAGAAAGAAAGAAAGAAAGAAAAAGAAAGAAAGGAGGAAAAAAGAACGAAAGTGCGAGGAATAATAAAAGCGAATAGCGTGAAATATTAAGAAAGAAAGAAAGAAAGAAAGAAAGAAAGAAAGAAAGAAAGAAAGATAGAAGAATGTAAGTGCGAGGAATAATAAAAGCGAATAGCGTGAAATATTAAGACAGAAAGAAAGAAAGAAAGAAAGAAAGAAAGAAAGAAAGAAAGAAAGAAAGATAGAAGAATGAAAGTGCGAGGAATAATAAAAGCGAATAGCGTGAAATATTAAGAAAGAAAGAAAGAAAGAAAGAAAGAAAGAAAGAAAGAAAGAAAGAAAGGAGGAAAAAAAGAAAAAGTGAGAGGAATAATAAAAGCGAATAGCGTGAAATATTAAGACAGAAAGAAAGAAAGAAAGAAAGAAAGAAAGAAAGAAAGAAAGAAAGAAAGAAAGATAGAAGAATGTAAGTGCGAGGAATAATAAAAGCGAATAGCGTGAAATATTAAGACAGAAAGAAAGAAAGAAAGAAAGAAAGAAAGAAAGAAAGAAAGAAAGAAAGATAGAAGAATGAAAGTGCGAGGAATAATAAAAGCGAATAGCGTGAAATATTAAGAAAGAAAGAAAGAAAGAAAGAAAGAAAGGAGGAAAAAAGAACGAAAGTGCGAGGAATAATAAAAGCGAATAGCGTGAAATATTAAGACAGAAAGAAAGAAAGAAAGAAAGAAAGAAAGAAAGAAAGAAAGAAAGAAAAAAAGAAAAAAAGAAAGAAAGTCTAAGGAAATATTAAGATCGAAAGAAAGAAAGAAATATAGAAAGAAACTGTGAGAAATAATAAGAAAGAAAGAAAGAAAGAAAGAAAGAAAGAAAGAAAGAAAGAAAGAAAAAGAAAAAAGGAAGGAAAGCGTGCGGAATAATTAAAACGGATAGTGGGAAAAATTAAGAGGGAAATTAAAACAGTAAGAAAAAAGAAAGAAAGAACGAATGCGTAAGGAATAAAATAAAAGAATAGTGGGATATATATATAAAAAAAGATTTAAACAAAGAAAAGAAGAAAAAAAAGAAAGACAGACACAAAAGAAGAAAGTAACAAAAAAGAAGAAAAGATGGAGGAATAATAAAAAAGAATAATGGAAAATATTAAGAAACAAAGAAATAAAGAAAAAAAGAAAAAAAAGAAAGGGTCAGGAAAAATACAAATGAATATTGGGAAATACAAAGAAAGAACGAAAGAAAGAAAGAAAGGAAGAAAGAAAGAAAGAAAATATAAATAATTAAAGAAAGAAAAAAGTAAGAAACCTTTAGGAATAATAAAAAAAAAGAATAGTGGAAAATATTAAGAAAGAAAGTCAAACCTGCTATTTAACTAATAACTGAGTGGGGAGAAGAAAGATTCATATTTCCCCAGTGGCAAAAATAAATACAACAAACTTAGTTCGAATTTGTAACCGGCTTCCCCATTCCACCTTCTAAATCGATAACCATTTCCTATCCGCAAAAATTCAGTTTAAGCATATACTTATTATCTATCTAAACAAAACATCAGAGATCCCCTTTTAAAAAAATTATTTAAACACTCTCATTGCAACATTAATATTCACATTTTTTTAATCATTTCAACCGACGTAAGGTAGTAAAGCCATTTAAACTCAAGGTGTTACTGAGTGTGTAAGAAAACAAAAAACATATTAAGGAACGAGATCAATGGAAGAGTAATCAGGAAGACAGAAGATAACGATTGACATTGTATATAATTTTTTTAAGATCATAGTTGGCTGGAAATTTTGGAACCAGAAGAGATCTCCACAAATCTGAAGAGAAATTCTTAGCTAAAAACTTACGGTTACATCTGGCCAAGTTAACTGCATATTTATGCGGCCATATTGTTAATCTAGTACCGCTTTTAAGTTCATGAAGTCTATCTGCCATAGCGAAGAGCGATATTTATTCTGTTCTCTACAGAAATGTGGCACAAGGCCGAAAAGGGGATTGGGGAAAGGACGGTCTTCTTCTGCCTTAACTATAACTTAGCTAGCCGCAAACACTGACCCAATCGTACGAACAATATTCCTTGCACCAAAACAACACATTCATACGTACCTTTCTTACCACAAGCACCATAATACCTCTTTGTCTCTATGAAAATACTAACTAGTCTCCATATTTATAATTCATAGCGAAGAGCTCATCTGAACAATTACCATGGAAATATTTATAGAAAAGGCACAGGGAAGCTACATTACAAGGATGGGAAAGTGACTGGAGACGATACGCCACATCAGGACCAATAATATTGCAGATTCTTTAAATTTTATCAAGAATCTCTGAATATATAGCAGGAGCACCAGACCATATCTGGTGGTAATATTCAAAACATAGACAAATGGTAGAGTTATAGATATGTAAGACAGATTCTAAAGAGAAAAAAATCCCTCTTAAACGCGACAGAGTGAACCAATTTACTTATCACAGACCGAGCAATGGATTCAATATAGTCTTTCCACTTCATATCAACGGAGAATCTTAGACCCAGAAAACGCAGCGAGTCACTCTCTTGGAGGTTAGAATCAGCCATGCTGATGGAACACAGAAAGAGGTCTCACAGATGATTATTGAACACAAAAGGTATTAACTACAGAAAAATATATTCTTGTATTCTTCATGGTTATAATCAAATAACATAGCCCAAGTGATAGACTGTTGTTTTGGGGTAGTATTGTAGGAATTCTTAAAATAAAACTTTTTATATAAGTTCTTGAACAAGATGGTGTTTGATTGATATAGATGACAACCGAAAATTATATTCATGCAAGACAATACTCTGTTATATGAGCAAAAAAATTAAAAAAACGCTAAATTAATTAACAGAATGAACCTCACCCTCTCCATATATTGAGGTAAAAAATAGTTGTAAGAATGTAATCAGTTTACCCGAGTAAAGGCAACCACTACGACGAGCTATTACGGGTAGTGAAAGAATATTTATTATTCAAACTGTTCAGGAGCATAGAAGATGGCGATTCACACTGTAATTAATTTTTTGAAGATTGTAGGTGTCAGATCATTCACAGCTTTTCTCTTAAAGAAATGGTTAAATATATTTCATAGAAGCAAATTTTAAATATCTGTATGTGTGTGTGTGTATGCGTTTTCAATGGATGATACCACCAAAAACGATTTTAACTCAAGTAAAGGTTATGGACAGAAATATGCAGGAGTATATGAGAACCAGTGTGGCAAGCATTTAAAGGATTAAAACTCTGCAAACAGAATCAGCGTATCTTTCGACAAAAATTTAATTTTTCTTTTAAATATAAAGGGACACGTTCAGTAGAAATTTCTTTTATCTTTCAAGCAATAAATCCCACATAATTGTACCTATACTCTGAAAAATGTCATACCATGGTATTTGATGGTAATTTATATCCCTTAGTATGATAATGTAAAAGGGAAAGTTCACTTTGGTATTTTATTATTCAAACTGAGATTTAACTCCTATTTTTTTTGTTTGTTTAGCGGCACATAAACTCCTTATGGACCGTTTAATTCCGAAATTTAATTTTCTTGGGAGTAGTAGAAATTTCTTTTAGATTTCAGTTTTTTTAGAGGTATTGTTGGTATTTTAGCTTATTTTATACTTTCATAGCGTTTAGATTTCAGTTTAGGGGGTTAGCTATTTGCCTAAAACTGGGACCCTAACAGGTGCTACCACCCAAGCCTAGTGTGGACCTAGAAAGAACAGCAATTAAGAGGTGGTTCCTCGCTCCTCAAAACTGCCGGATGTAGTTTATCGTCATAACCAGGACGCGTTTAATAAATAAAAAAAAATGGAGTGTCTATTTAAAATATGAAGTGATCACTGGAATAATCTTTGCTGTAATATAGTTATGATTTCTATGTAGGAATTGCATTTTTATGTAGTTAGTCTTCAACAGTTCAATTATATTTAGACGTGCGCCCACAGCGCAAAAATATGTGACAAAAAAAGTCGTGTTTAATGTGGGTTCATATGGAAAGACTCTCAAGTTTTCTCTGCACTCCACTATTTTGGGGATACCTCATGTGCAGGGTAATAAAGGATAGGTACACCCTGGGCGATGGCACCCTGGAGTTTGGGACAATTATTACTAGGAATGAAGCGAACTTCTCTGCCGGTCAGCCATACGAAACATTGCATATACCATTGGCAAATACCATTGCAATACAAATACCGTGATATTTACTCGTTCCTCACGGTGAAGGGATGTAACACAGTGGTGGTTTAATGTGGCGCCTAAAATTGTCCATCCCCAACAACCGTCTTGTATAGAGAGGTATTACTACGGACTCACCTCACTGCAATGAGAGGGGTACTGCCGACGGAAGCTGTTCCCCGGGAGAGGTCACATCTCAATAGTTTTTCAGCTGCGCTCGGTCCGTAGACAGAGACACAACCGGCTTGCGCTCTACCCGAAGACGCAACTGCGATATTCTAACAGTACGAGTAGGACAAGTACCGTTGTCACTACATTACGTTGCGAGCCTATACATATCGTCTACTCATATAGCAAGGACATTAAGTGCCGTATGTGATACACGACCATGTCTCATTCGATTCATGACTGACTCGGCAGAAGATATTTCCGCAATATGCAGTTTCTTTCTACTTAAATTGGTTGCAACCCAAGGCTATTGGTCCCAGTCTCTTCTGCTATTGAACCCATAGCTGGTGGGGGTGAAGAAATGATTCATAACTTTTCCAAGGATATTTGCGCGTATTCCTTCTGCGTACACTGGTTGTCACCCAAGACTGTAGGACCCAATCTGTCCTGCTATTCAACCCATAGCTGGTGGGGGTGAAGATAATGGATTCATAACTTTTCCAGGGTATTTGCGCATATTTCTTTTGCGTACACTGGTTGCCACCCAAGACTGTAGGACCCAATCTTCCCTGCTATTCAACCCATAGCTGGTGGGGGTGAAGATAATGGATTCATAACTTTTCCAGGGTATTTGCGCATATTTCTTTTGCATACACTGGTTGCCACCCAAGACTGTAGGACCCAATCTGCCCTGCTATTTAACCCATAGCTGGTGGGGGTGAAGATAATGGATTCATAACTATTCCAGGGTATTTGCGCGTATTTCTTTTGCGTACACTGGTTGCCACCCAAGACTGTAGGACCCAATCTGCCCTGCTATTCAACCCATAGCTGGGGGAGAAGAGATGGATTCATCTGAATGGTATTTGTGTGTAAGTGAATGTAACGACCCCGACTGTAATTTGAACACAGCTCTCTGATTTCTTGTTCCGAGCCGTTTTCCATTCCACGACAAAGCTCATTCACATATGGTAATTACTGATAACAATAACCAACCAATACCACACATATAAATGTCGGATTAAAAATATGTCGGATTAAAAATATGTCGGATTAAAAATATGTCGGATTAAAAATAAATCAATTGATTCTTTAATATCTAAAAATAGCAGACACTTTTCTGGTTGAAAATTTACTCAACTATGGCGTAATTATATTCTTAGCTTTTCTTAACATCTCAAACGATTTTCCATTTTATTCTCATCGCTTCATCAGACTCTATCTATCTATCTATCTATCTATCTATCTATCTATCTATCTATCTTGATTACTTCAGTCATCTCCAAAGTGCTTTTGAAATATCTGCTTGTATGACATGGAACAGATGATTAAAAGATAGCAGTTTAATATTTGAAAGAGATGTCAACGGCGGAAATAGATTAGAGTTTGAACAATGTGAAATCTATAACTTGTATTAAATTTCCTTAATTCAATCGTGTATATTGCCTAACTTCACGTCTTTTGACAGATGAAATGAAAAAACGTTAATATATTTCTTCTCTGATTATTCGGTTTAGTGAAACGATTCCGATTTTGTGATCCCACAAAAGTGATTATCGCTTTACGCTTTGCAATTCTACACAAGACTTACGATATCTCAATTTTAATAAACAGAATCTAATGTCGAATCAATCTCTAACAAACAGGTAACGAATATCGTAATCTTCCGCCAGATATTTAGCAATTTGACGTTAATGTTTATATAGGCTTCAGCGTTTCATTTGTCCGGAAAAATATGCGTTTACCCCGTGCTGAGGTATCTACACTATCGGAGACTTATTTATTCGTGAAAAGTTCATTTTAATTTAGAATCGATGAAAAGTTTTCTCAATAATATCCAGGTAAAGTTTGGCGTTTAAAATAAACTAGCATATTATTCGTTAGAAAATGTCTCATTTATTGACACCTGTGCCAAAACATCTGTGTGTTAAAAATACAGCGGTTCGGATTGAGGAATCGGAGAGCCGAGTTCGAATTCCAGTCGAATCCATTACATTCACTTACGTGCTAATACCCTTGGGAAAGGTATGAATCCTCTTCTTCTCCTCCCAACTATGGGTAAACTAACAGGACAGACCAGGTTCTATAGCTTTCGATGGCAACTGGTCTAGCGCAGAAAGAAATAGCAACCTACTGTGGGGAAAAATCTGCCTGGACAGTCATATATCGAAAGATAAATGATCGCCTAAGCGTATATCACGCATGGCACATAACTGACTGGCTGATAGTTATTGAAGTATGAAACAGACTCTCACCATTCCGTGCTAGCATCAATGCCAACACTCGATAATACTCGCTCGAAAAGTAACCATCGAACAGTGATCTGAAGAGACAAATAGTATAGTGTAGAGAATAGCGTATATTAATAGAGGATAGAATAGATATGGTGATCCGAATAGTAATAGAGGATAGACTAGAAATAGCGACCATTCGTTGCCACGATACTTTCTACTTATGAGTTTCCTCTATCGTCACGTGATCCACGTAATTCAATAATGGGATCACCCGTTTTTGCTCACTGGTGATCTATGTTCAAACTCAAGTACGACCATCAGACAAACTGGTTTATCTTTTCAAAAGTGGATCTATTTAAGCTTATTTGTAATTGATTATTTGTGTGTGGTGGATGGGGTGGAATTATCTTCTGTGTTTGCTGAGGATGACACTCTTACATATACACACATACATAGAAGTGTGTGGATTTTAGTTCGTACAAACACACCCATATAAATAATCTGAGGTTAGACGCAGTTACACACATCCATGCATTTGAGCACACGTATATACACAAGTGTCATTCTATTTCGGTGTCAAGATTAATTAATAAAATTATAATTAATAATAATTAATTAATAATAATTAAATAATAATAAATTAATTAATTAGTATCATAAATTTCGCGAGAAATTACATTGATATCACTTATGATGAACTAAATATTATGACAACATCCAGAAGACTAGTACTAGTGTACAATAACTCAACTTGGATAAAAAGAAACAACGAAAACTGCGATGATCCGGTGGGGGTATTTGACTCTGCCCAACTAGCAGACCTGGGATATATATATATATATATATATATATATATATATATATATATATATATATATATATATATATATATATATATATATATAGAATTGACGGCCAATAAAAAAAGGGCGACGGCCTAATGATTGTTCCAAATATTTCTCCACTGCCTTAACCAGGTATTGAACTCACAGCCCTTTGGGTCCTGTCACTGGATCTAACCAACGCCTTTATCCACTGTGCTACTCACTGTTGTGAGTTCAATACCTGATTACGACAGAAGAGTTGAATTAACAGGAGATAACTGATAACTGACATTCATTAGACATGTCACGTGGAAGTAGAAGAGTCTATCCCAGCAAACGAAATAAAGGGGTCAGTTCGACATTCCAACTAACTGAAGAAGACCAGAGCGTACAGCGGTTGAAATGTTGTGATATATATGGCAATAAAGATAGTCCGAATAATTCCTTCAGCAATACTTCTCTTAAAAACCAAACAGCTTTATCCAGACAGTCTCACACCGCAATTGGAGTGGAAATTCATATCCAGAGCTGAAACTCCTAAGAATTTCAGGTACCATTGTAACCTCTGTTTGCTGGAGAAACTACTTATAATTAAATATAAAAACCAGGAGAGAGAGAGAGAGAGAGAGAGAGAGAGAGAGAGAGAGAGAGCGAGAGAGAGAGAGAGAGCCTCGTCTGCGTTCCTCTCTGACCAAAGGCAGAGAGTTCGACACGGCAAGAGCCACCCTTGCTGACAGCTCACCCTGCCAGCTTAGACAGCATATTACCCAAATTTACAATAGTGTCCAAAGTTTTTATGAGTATTGGGACATAAACGTTAGTGTTAATAGTTACGGTATATAACAATTACAAAACCTGGAGTTTAAAACAAACAAGGACATGCATGTCATTCACAAAAGGAATTACATGTGTAAACAATTGAAATCAAAGGAAAATACATTAACACTGACAATAAGAATGTGCTTGTTTGAATGTGTGTGTGTGTGTGCTTAGTGCTTCATATGTAGTCTTTTCATAAGTAATGTTTAGTGTTCATAGGTACGGTATATAACGGAAACCTTAAGAAGTAATAAGTTAATTTTGTTATTACTGTAGTTAAATGTATGATATGATATGGAAGAGAAGTCGTTCGGCCACAATGTAAGCTAGTAAATTAGTTTTGGAAAACAAAGATCTGCAACTTACAAATCTAAGACGAGTGATCGCAATACAGAAGGTAACAACAAACTTTTGGCCTGTATTAAGAAGAGACAAATCCTTTCTCTCTCTCTCTCTCTCTCTCTCTCTCTCTCTATATATATATATATATATATATATATATATATATATATAGGGAGAGAGAGAGGGAGGATAGGGTGGGAGGTAGGAGAATTTGTCTTTTCTTATTCTCAGTGGAGGTGATACTTATCGTGTTATTTTTTGTTCTTAAATTTTTTGCCATTTTTAGCAATGTGCTACGTACAAAGCTTTAGGTTTAGTTTCTATATATAGTCTCTTGTGGAGATTTTTACGTCCTGTTGCTGTTCTGGCTGAGGTGGTCTTTTCTTTTTTTTTTATTATCGAATATCCAAGTCTGGGTTTTGGAGCATTTTGTGTGTTTTCAATTTAAAGTATATTTCTTGTATTTTATTTATTTATTATACTTTTTTTTGTATAGAGTTACCTCAGTTAATTTACTTAGGGCGGGTGGTAGCTATCTATCTTAAAGGGGAGAAGGTATATTAAATATATCAGAGAATATTAACCCTATGGA